CTCCCCTTCCCCGGGGCCCCGCCCCTGTTCCAGCCAGGGTCCCCCCCGTTCTACCCCCCGCTGCGGCCCCAAGACTGGAGACGCTCTGTCCCCCCGCCACAGCGGGGAGTGAGAGCACCTCCAGTCCCAGGGCCGCAGCGGGGGGCCGGGTGCTGGGGCTTCCTCTGCCGGGGACAGGGTCGGGGGGCACCGGGGGCTTCCCTCACTGCCGTGCCTGCCCGGCGCTGCTGCTGGAGAGCGGGGTCGGGGCCTGGGGGCTTTCCCCGCTCAGCCAGGGCTCTGGCCCCCCAGTTGGCTGGGGCTCGTGGGCACGGGCCCCAGAGGCCCAGTGGCTAATCCACCACTGCTTCCCCCCATCCACTAGGCCAGCAACCCTACCAAAGAAGCAAATTAGACAGAGGTTAATGGGGTTACAACCACTCCGACCCTCAATCCAGCACATTTTGCTTAGCACCCAGCAGGCCTCTGATCGATATCAAACCTTCCCTCTCTTCCACACGCCCCAGCCTGCGACTCCGCGGGGGAGAGAATTTGCTCACCCAATGACAGCGCCACGCTCAGCCGGGATCCGGGCACATCTGCTGTCGATGGCCCCCGGGACCGAGCGAGGGTGGAACCGTGCGCCAGAGAGACGGGCAGCCGCTGTTAGCAGAACGGTTTGCTCGCAGGGTCGCCGAGTGACTAGAGGGCTGGGCTTTGGGAGACCTGCTTCCCCGCTCCGTGCCTCAGTTTCCCCACCTGTAAAATGAGGCTAATCATTCTGAACGGCTGTGAAATCAATAAAAAGCCATTCTGAAGTGGTGTCTTTTCAAATAACTCGCGCATTGCAGGCTGTCAGCCTGGGGGGCCGCGGACACGGAGTAAGGCCTGGCCGGGAACTGGAAGTAGCAGCTGGCCGTTTGTACCCTCTAGATTCAGAGCGGGACCCCTGTAGTCAGCACAGCTAAGGGAGAAAGGTCGTCTGGCCCCCGGCCCAGGAACTGATCCTCGTGCTAGTGATTAAGTAGCACTGGGGGGGGCTATTTTCAACGAACTGCCCCCCCCCCCGCCCCCGTCAGAAAATGCTGATTCGTCAACACGAAACCGTTCCAGGGCAATGTCTGTTTCTGTGACGCTTTCCTCAGGGCCGGGAGGGACTCGCTGGTCAAAGCCAGAGCCAGAAGTGAGCCCCTGGAACAGCCGCTAGCTCAGGACCCGGACTCAGACAGAGATCGGATTTACCCCTGGGGCTCCTAGGTCCCATGTGCGGGCCCCAGAGCTCTGGGGTAGCAAGAGGGGCTCTCCCCGGTGATTTCCTGTGAACAGTTTCCAAAGGCCTGTTTTCATCCTGCCGCGGCGCGAAGACGAGTGTCGAAACCTCCCCGCCCTCACGCGGTGAAATTCCCGCTTTCTGGCCAGCCTGGTCCCGCGGCGACGGTCCCTAGCTTGCTGGTACTGGCGGGGGCCAGAACGGGCTGAGTGCTCAGCGCGATTCTCTAGCCGGGCGTGGCCGGGAGCCACCCGGCCTGGTTATTTAGCCCCACTAGTTTTTAACTCTCTCCATTCCCAGGCACCCGGGGTTGCTATCCAGGACCTACCACGGACAGTCTCTTTATACAGCGGGTACTGCTGTCTGAGCCCCCCACACACACACACCCGGTTGGAAAATTACAATGAAAATAAAATAAAAATTGTCGAAATTTTCAGTGGAAAAATGCAACTTTTCATCAACAAATATTTCCCCCAGTGTTGGGGGAGGGGTCTGACAAAACAAGCTTTTTGGGGGATGCAGATGCCCGGTGCCGTCATGTCTGTCCAGTGCAAACGCCAGTTCTCCTGTGAGGAAAGTTTCCAACCAGCCCCACGTGCGAGGCCCGTGCGGCTCCAGGCCCCTGGGGCTGGGAATCGACGCCGTCTCTGATCCCTTCAGTTCCTGCTCCTGGTCGAACTCCACCCAGGGGTGTGTACATATCACTTCCTCTTCCTCCTTCCCGCACCATGGATCTCTGGCCCGGCTTCACCTTCCCGCTGATCCTGCTCACGGCCTTCTTGCTTTTTCTGCTGTGGAGGGGGCAGCAGGCCGGGCGGAGGAGCCTGCCCCCGGGCCCACGCCCGCTGCCCCTCCTGGGCAACTTGCCGCAGTTGTGGGGACCGTCGTTGTTACGCTCTCTGCTGGGGGTGAGTTCAGTTCCCGAGTGATTTCTTGCCCTCCGCCCCAAGGAGCAGGAGCCATCGGGCTCTTGGTGGCAGAGGGAGACACAACCCCGACTCCAGGGACTGGCTCTCAGGATCTCTGCCTGGCGCGTCGGGGGCCAGCGGAGGGGGTGGCCGCTCCCCGCTCTTCCTAGGACGAACCGCACGGAGCTGGGGGGCTGCAGCTCCTCCCGAATCCGGCCTAACAGGCAAAGGGCCAAGCCACCCTGTCCTGCACCCGAGTGGGCCGCGAGGCAGGAGATTCCTACAGGCCAAATGCTTGATTCGGCTCCCGGGCGTGTGCAGATCTGTAGCTGGGGTAAATAGAGCTGGCCCCAGGCGTGTCCTTTCGGAGGCCGTGATGGGACAGACGCCCGAATGATTTTGGCTACAGACCAGCCCTTACGGCTAAGAGCTCATCTGCTTGGCCATGTTGAATACGCAGCCGGGAACGGGCTGCTTCCCTCGCTGGGGGGGATATGTTCCCGGGCAGCGTAGTCCCATCGAAGCTCGGCACGCCCAGGAAACGCGGCGCTGGCTGAATGAATCCCGCAGCGCAGTCCATGGTGGGTGAGGCCGGGGTGGGTCGGTGGGACGGGCACCGGGCTGGCGAGCACAAGTTCTAACCCAGAGCGGATCCGAAGCATGTTCCTCGGTTTGGTTGGGGTTTCTCCACCTCGTGGAAAATGTCAACCTTTTGTCAAAAAGTGAAAACTTCTGGGACGTTGGCAAGTGAAAACCAAACGTTTCCAGCCCCACCCATCCGGGCTTCACCAAGCTGCACATTTGTGTTTGGTCGAAAACAACCAGGGAAAATAACATTTCGGGGGAAGTTTTTCAACCAGCCCAGTGCGTGGCCGTGGATGAACCAGTTTGCTTTGGTGCCTCAGTTTCCCTGTCTCTAGAACAGGGTCGGTGATAATGCTCACCCGCCTGCTGCCACCCGGGGTTAATTAGCTAAACGTCGGCCCAGCGCATGCACGTGTAGGAGACCCGAGTATCCGAACGTAACATCCGCTTCCCCGCTGCAGCTCCGAGACAAGTACGGCCCAGTATTCACCATCTACTTGGGGGCGAAGCGGGCCGTGGTGCTGTGGGGCTACGAGGCAGTGAAGGAAGCCCTGGTGGACCAAGCGGAGGAGTTTGGTGGCCGAGAGGGGTTAGCTCTTGTGGACAGGACCAGCAAGGGCAATGGTGAGGAACAGTCTGGTTCACGGCGTCACGGCAGCTCAGGTCGGGAATCAGCATCCTGGGACGCTGACGGAAAACCCCAAACACACCCAGCCCCGGACCAAAGCAACCCCAAGGGGAAATTCACACCTTTGAAAAACCCAAATCACACCCTCACCCCCCAGCAGAGGTTTCACCCCACAAAGCAGCCTCAACACAGAGCCTGGAGTCCACTGGGGGCTTTGCTCCCGCTCTCGATTTCCCCAGGGGAGCGCTCAGGCACTCTCCTCGCGGGTGTCGGGGACAGAGAGACAGACGGAAGGGGGTGTGCGGAGACAGACAGAAAACCTGCGATTCTCCCCGACTGAGTCTGGGCCAGCCCCAAGCATTCAAAAATTCATGAGCCAGCTGCCAAAAAACCCTGAGGGTTTTTTTAAAGCCAAATCACCGGCTATTTAAAAATAAGGAATGTCAGGTCCTTTTCTTTCACCTCCTGTTTCCTGAGTCTCCAGGGGTCACCTTTTCAAGCTTTTACCCCCACACCCATTAGGGGTAGGAACTTCTTTAAATAAAAGCTGAGGTTCTCGGCTATCACGAGACTCCAGGAGCTGGGGCTTTAAGGAAAAACTCCCAAAGCCGCGAGAAATGGCAGCGCGGCGTGTTACCCACGATCTCTTGCAGAAGAACTTTTCTCCGCAGTGATCGGCGGGGGGAGCTCATTTCCGGCGCGGGGCTGAGACTCGAGCCCCGTTCCCTGGGAGGCGCGTGCCCAGGGAGTGCCTTTCTGTCTGTGCCCAGGGCTTTTCTTCAGCAACGGGGAGACGTGGCGCCAGATGCGCCGGTTTGCCCTCAGCACCCTGAGGAATTTCGGGATGGGGAAGAGGAGCATCGAGGAGCGGATCCAGGAGGAAGTCCAGTACCTGCTGGAGGAGTTCAGGAAGACAGAAGGTATCCTGGCTTTGGTATTTTCAAAGAACTGGGGTTGGTCCAACGTGGGTGTCTCCCACTGTCCCCCCCGTTCCTTGTCCCATGACTCCAGACTCCCGGGAATTCCCACCTCCTTTTTCCTGTGTTCTTACTCGAGCTGGGGGGTTCCCAAGGGAAAATGTTGACCGTAAAATATCCATTCAAAATGATGCTGCAGGGCCTCATGGGAATTGTAGTTCGGGTACCTCATGTTCCCATTCTCCTCTACAGCTTGGGCAATCTGGCCAGACTACATCTCCCACGATGCATCACTTTCTCCCCTCTTGGTGAGGGGGCATGTGTCAAAGCCGTGGTGCATCAAGGGAGATGTAGTCCCGTGAGAGAGCCAGGCCAAGAGAAGAGAACAGAACGGAAGCATGAGGCACCTGGACTACACATCCCAGGAGTAGGGTGACCAGATATCCCGTTTTTAAAGGGACAGTCCCGTTTTGGGGGGATTTTTCTTATATAGGCGCCTATTGCCCCCCACCCCCGTCCCGTTTTTTCACAGTTGCTCTCTGGGCACCCTACGCAGGAGGCACTGGGGCTTCAGGAGTGGGGGAGGCACCGCCCAAGCAGAGACTCTGGGTCTGGTGCTGACGCAAGCCATGTGCGCTTCCCCCGCTGCAGCAGCCCTGGGGCTGCTCTAAGTTACGCCCCTGCTGCCATGGCCATGCCACGGGGCGGGGTGGGATCTCCGGAGTGCAGACCCGCTCCAGCCGTGCCCCTGGCATTTGAGGCTGGCGTGGAGGAGGCTCTCCATGTAGGACTCATGAATGAAATTGTTTTTAGTTATCCTGTACCATTGTAACTTCTGTTCACCATTTCATAACACCTGCCATTTTGCCTACATTGTAACTTTCATTACACTTGCCATT